GGTCTCCCACGACGCGTTCATTTATCAGAGGCTCGAAATGCTTCTTTCTATTACATTTAGTTATTAAATGATATAATTATTGGTAAGAAAGTCATCGATCCAAATATATTTATTTATGAGAATACCATTTTATATAGAGATGCATAGAAGACATCATTCCAATTCTTAGATGAATAAATAAACAGTAATTTAATCATATATGATACATTGTAATTATTTTAATATATTAATTAATGGAGTTCTAATCGGTTGAGACTGCGGCCATTGAGCTACACGAGGAAGCTGCCATCAGGCGAGCCCCCATCGCTTCCTTAAGCTTCTATTTCTTTTTAATATGATTACTATTATCTTCAGCTGAGACTCAATTAATTTATCTCTGTTTAAATGTTGATTGCATCCAATTTTTTTATGTCCATAATAATCTTGTTTTAATCAAGGTATTCGATTAATGTTTTCTCCATGCCCTAAATTGCACAAAAGATAATTAAGTTTGTAGAAAGAACAAAGTATATAACTACAAATAGTGAAAATAAATAGTTATCCTCACATGCTTTTCATCATCTCTAGATTCTTCGTTCATAACAATGAGTTTGCCAATACGATCTAAAACTTTAGCATTTGTGGAAGCCTATATTTTGTTTAATGAATTCAAATATTGAATATATTTTGTTTCTTCACTTCTTTATCATTCTGGTACATTTATTGATTTGATAAATCAATCCACTCAACATGTTTTTTTTTTTTAGTGTTGTTCTTGGTCAAATATCTTTGGTTTGTAAATTTTTACAATATATATTACCAAAAATGTTCCAATTAGGAATATGAAATAACAATTTAGTTTATAATAAATTATATTATCATGTAAGGTGTAACAATAATATATTTCCTTCATAAATTGAGTTTTAGTTCTTATGAAACGGATGGAAGTCACAAAGATGTTTTTTTGTTTTATTTAATTTTTTAAAAATTTCGACCTAAAGACAATTTATTGATATTCTTTTGTTTTCACATAATTAATAATTATCTTATTATATAAAGTTAAGTTTTCGCCCTCATGGTGATGCCATGTCCCTAAATATGATGGGAAGAAAGTAACACATGGCATGCAAACTTATTTTACACAAAAATTAATGTTTAATATTAACATATGTTTACGTTATGTGAATGCATTTATCAATTCTTTTTAAGAAGTATGGATTTTTTTATTTTGAGATAAAAAATATATTAAAAAAATCATAGTATCCATGAATTAAAAAAAATGTATAAGGCTGAAAATAATCCATAGTTTATACTCTTAGATATTTTATTTTATCAACATTGACAAGTGTTAAAAACTAATTATATAATAAAATAATAAAATATAAATAGTGAAATTTTATGTTATTAATAAAATAGCAAAATATAAATAGTGAAGTTTAATGTTATTTTTATTTTCTATAAATTAAGAAAAATCAGATACTCACTAAACTTGAATATATATATATATATATATATATATATATATATATATATATATATATTTTATGTGTGTGTATAACTAGATTTTTAATAGTATCATGTTATAAATTAATATGCATTAAATATAAAGGAAAAAATGAGAATACAAATTAAATCAAAAGGAATAAGCACATCAAACAAATACAATGATTCTCATATAAATTGGCTGAAAATAATCCATAATTTATATTCTTAGATATTTTATTTTATCAACATTAAAAATGTTGATAAAATTACTTATATAATAAAATAAAAAATATAAATACTGAAATTTAATGTTATTCTTATTTTCCATAAATTAAGAAAAATCAGATACTCACTAAATTTGAATATATATATATATATATATATATATATAAATATATTTTTATGTGTGTGTATCACTAGATTTTTAATAGTAGCAAATTAGGAACTAATATGCATTAAATAGACAGGAAAAAAATCAGAATACAAACTTAATCAAAAGGGGTAAACACATAGAACAAATACAAAGATTTCCACATGATTATATGTCGTTAAAAATAATATTGTATACACACAGAACTTTCATCAATTACTGCGTATAAATAATAATCGGACACATAAAAATAACTATGTGTTTTTGTGAAAAACAAACAAAACCTAAAATTTTATAATTATTAAAATAATATAATATTACAAAACATGTCTGCCACTAGATAAAAATAAAATGTCCAAAATATAAATGGACATCAAATTTTAATAAATATGGTAAAATGTTTAAGTGAACATGTCATTTATTTTATCATAGACAAAGTAAACACGAAATAACAATCAATTATCTTGAAACGAATACACACAAGATGAAGACAAAATAAATCTGAATATCAGGGGTATAACCTGACAAAAGAATATGCCATTAGCTTAACACCATCCTGACTCAGAATCTTTCACCTCATAACACCACTTCACTGGCCGCTAAGATCTCACAGTTTTTTCCAATCAAATAGAATCAGAAAAAATAAAATGGAAAAGAGAAGGAAAGTGAGAAAATATTGTTATGTTCACTATATCTAGTACAACGATGAGTGTGCGTTTATCTCTTTTGAAACACTAATAAATAATAAATGTGAGTAAATATCTTTCCAATTGATTGCTAATTTTTAAGAATAAGTTAGAGAAAAATTAGCACACAATACCATAGACTCGAGAATAAAAATTGCAAAATACACAACTTTATCACACTGATCCGTGTAACATGTCCCAAACAAACATGAAGTGAACCCTAAATACAGCCACCGAAACTTTCAAATATATTAATAACTTCTAAATCATTATAAATAATATTTTATTTTTTATGAAACTAAAAAACTGACATTAATCTTTTTGTTAAAAAATAATCATTTAGTGAAAATATATAAAATAATTAAAACAAATAAATTTATAATTATAATAAATAAAATTATTGTAATTATAATAAAAATAATCATTTAGTGAAAATAGATAATATAATTAAAACAAATAAATTTATAATTATAATAAATAAAATTTATGAGAAAGAGGATAAATCAATTTACGCTATTAATATTTATACATTTCATTAGATTTATACAAACAAAAATAAAAATACTGAATCTCACAGATTTTTGGTTCTCTTTTTACTACCAAATTTAAGGTTAAACTAGAATACAAAATGATATAAAAATATTGAACAATTAATATATAATGAAAATAATTTAAAAACTAAGCACTAATAAGATATAAAAATAGACAAATTAAAATTTAATTATGCTATGTAATATAACTTGAGTTTAATGAAAATTTGTTTTCATGTGTTTAATGAAAAGTTTAATAAAGATTTAATAGTTAAATAAAAGTTACAAAATACTTAGACATATTCAAAATAAATAAAGAAGTCAAGTTTGGAAAGACGAAAAATCTATTATCATATTGTTTTCCTTTACGTTTCATCAAACTTAAGGAAAAAAGATTCACACACTAAATTTTCTTTCCATATTAGGTAAAGAATAATTATCAAAAAAAAGAAGATTCAAACAGTAAAAAGTGGGTAATAAATTACCAAACAATATTTTACCAAAAAAATGAAAATAAAATAACAACACACAAAAAATAAAGAAACAAAAGTCAAGACGAGCCACAATACACAACAATTCTACGCAAAACACATACTGATAATCTATGACATACTTGGATATTAAAATTTTTGAAATTCGAAAGATAAAAAACTAATAATTAAAAATAATTATATAATTGTGTAACAAGTTATACTTTATAATAGATTATAATATTTATATATCAAAATAACATACAACATATATAATTAAAATTTCAACGAAAAACCCGGGAGCCCAGGCCGGCCCTAGTGTTATATAAGACAAAAATATAAAATATAATGTTTCTATTAAGTATAAATGAACTTGGAAGCATGTAGTTTTATCACTTCTAATGTGCGGTTTCAATATTTTAGAAATTACCCTAAATATAAACAGAATAAGCAAATACTATTTAACTTTTTATGTAATAATTACGGTATATCTAAATATCAGTAAATTAGAAACTTAGAATAAATTTGATTTTTTTGATGCCGTTTGATCAGTTATCAAAGGATATAGTTCTGAAAAAATATAAACTTAAAACCCACTAAATAACTCACTTACAGGTGATATAAAACTACTCAAAAAAGAAATGATACAACACAACATTTTAGGATAAGAACCCAACAATAGTTTTATTTTTTTCGATCAAACTCCATGGTAGCTTTAATTCATGTCATAATTTCATAATTCAAATCATATCGTAAACATCAGCGTCCATGCCTAGAAATTTATAACTGAATACAGTGATGCGAGTAACTCCTTACCCATATTCTCCAAAGCAACATATGGTCCAGTAACCAAATAATTGTTTTCTTGTGGCATATCACAATGGTGTTCACTTGTTTTGAGAAACTGAGGGTACACCATAGACGTATGTTCATGATCTCTCACGTCCTCCATAGACATATGCTCTTGTCAGCACAAACCTGAGCTGAGGAAAAGCAAAGATATTTAATTGTTAAACATTGTTAATTTTATTGACGCTAATATCATATTTTCCTTTGAAATTATTATTTTATACAAATACATACTTTCTCAATGCTTTGACGAAATATTTGATAATTGTTTTAAGTTATGAAATGGAAATATGCTATTCTTAAATTACTTTTATCTATTTTTCATTCTTATTGGTCATCCCATATTACCACCTACCACAATCTGAAGAGAGAAAAAATATTGAATATAAACTTAAGAGGAAACTATCGATTGTTATTCTTAAAAAGTAAAAAAACAGATTAGTGTTTCTTTTGGTCAAATATTTTTCTATGTAGATAAGAACCAACTTAACATTCCTTGAACTAAGATATTTTCCTAAGTTTACATAACTCTTCTACAAATAAATATATGTCTTCTACCACACACAAATTCTCAAAATTCATCTTTCACAATCAAATATAAGTTTTCACATTTCAATTTTTTTTGTTCATAATGGCTCGTTCCAAACAGAAAGCTCGGAAGTCCACAGGAGGTAAGGCCCAGTGGATCAATCCCGAAATGATGAGAGCGCAAAACTTCGCTATAAGATTGATAAAACCGTCTAGGCACAGGCCAGGAACCATGGCACTAAGAGAGATCAGAAGGTATCAGAATAGCACAGTAACATTGATCCAGAAACTTCCATTCCAACGACTGGTGAAAGAAATAGCCCAAAGTTTGAAGGCGGAGTTCCGGTTCCAGAGCAGCGCTGTTGATGCTCTCCAAGAAGCAGCTGAAGCTTATATGGTTGGGTTCTTCGAGGATACCAATTTGTGTGCCATACATGCTAAGCGAGTAACCGTCATACCTAGAGACATCCAGCTTGCTAAAAGGATTCGAGGTGATAAACTTTGAGATTATGATATGAATCATAAAATATTCATGGATTAATATTCCGGATTGAATGTACCTTTCTGCTTCTTTGAAATAAATAAACTTTTCTTTGAATAATATTTTTTTGTTGATTATATTTTGTACAATGTAAGTGAAATGCCCTTACAGTCCACATCTAATGGGTCTCCCACGATGCGTTCATTTATCAGAGGCTCGAAACGATTCTTTCTATTACTTTTGGTTATTAAATGACATAATATATTGGTAAGAAAATCATCTATCCAAATATAAATACTTTTGAGAATACCATTTTATATAGAGATGCACAGAAGACATCATTGCAATTCATTTATTATTCCATCAAAGCTGTAGATGAATAAACAAACAGTAATTTAATCATATATCATACATTGTAATTATTTTAATATATTAATTAATGGTGTTCTAATCGGTTGAGACTGCGGCCATTGAGCTACATGAGGAAGCCACCATCAAGCGAGCCCCCATCGCTTCCTTAAGCTTCTTGTTCTTTTTAAGACGGTTAATATTATCTTCAGATGAGATTCAATTAATTTATCTCTGTTTAAATGTTGGATTGCTTCCAAATTTTTTTTAGTCCATATTAGTCTTGTTTTAATCAAGGTATTCGATTAATGTTTTCTTCATACCCTAAATTGCACAAAAGATAATTAACGTTCGTAGAAAGAACAAAGTATATATCTACAAATAGTGAAAATAAATATTTATCCTCACATGCTTTTCATCATCTCTAGATTCTTCTTTCATAACAATGAGTTTGCCAATACGATATAAAACTTTAGCATTAGTGGAAGCCAATATTTTATTTAATGAATTCAAATATTGAAAATATTTTGTTTCTTCACTTCTTTATCATTCTGGTACATTTATTGATTTGATGAATCAAGCCACTCAACATGTTTTTTATGTTGTTTCTTGGTCAAATATCCTTAGTTTGTAAATTCTTACAATATATATTACCGAAAATGTTCCGATTAGGAATATGAAATAACAATTTAGTTTAAAATAAATTATATTATCATGTATGGTGTAACAATAATATATGTCCTTAATAAATTGAGTTTTAGTTCCTATGAAACGGATGGAAGTCACAAAGATATTTTTTTTGTTTTATTTAATTTTTTTAAAATTGTGACCTAGAGATAATTTATTAATATTATTTCATTTTCACAATATTAATAATGTTATATAAGAAAAAAAATCAAAATATATTTTTTCTATTTAAGAATAAACGAACTTGGAAGTATGTAGTTTTATCATTTCCAATGTGTGGTTTCAATATTGTTAGAAATTTACCCTAAATATAAACATAATAAGCAAATACTAGTTAACTGTTTATGTAATAATTATGGTATATCTAAATATCAGTAAATTAGAAACCTAGGATAAATTTGATTTTTGACGCCGTTTGTTCAGTTATCAAAGGATTTAGTTCTGGAAAAAAAACTAAGACCCCACTAAATAACTCACTTATAGGTGATATAAAACTATTCAAAGTAGCAACGAAACAACACAACATCTTAGGATAAGAACCCAACAATAATTTTATTTTGTTCCGATTAAAGTCCATGGTAGCTTTAATTCATGTCATAATTTCCTAATTCAAATCATATCATAAACAGGAGCGTCCATGCCTAGAAAATTATAACTGAATACGGTGATGCAAGTAAATAACTACCCATAATCTCCAAAGCAACATATGATCCAGTAACCAAATAATTGTTTTCTTGTGGCATATCACAATGGTGTCCATTTTTTTTTGCGAAACTGAGGGTACACCATAGACATATGCTCTTGTCAGCACAAACCTGAGTTGAGGAAAAGAAAACATGTATCTCTTGTAAAACCCTTGTGCTAAACTATTCAGAAAACCCGCAAAGCCACAAGTGAAATATGCAACAACTGCTATGAGGAACAATCAGATAAATTAACAAAGGGGGAGAGGCAGGACATCTCCAAGAAAAACACCAAAGTATCACAAATTAATTATCAAAAAAAACAAATAAGCACAAGAATAGCCGAAGTGCCACACAAAAATAGGCCATTAAAAGGAGGAAATGCTTTCAATAAGTTTAAAAAGATGTTTAATTGTTAAACATTTTTAAATTTTATTGACGCTAATATCATATTTTCCTTTGCCATTATTATTTTTTACAAATACATACTTTTTCAATGCTTTGAAGAACTATTTGATCATTGTTTTAAGTTATGAAATGGAAATATGCTATTCTTAAATTTCACTTTATCTATTTTTCCTTATTATTGGTCATCCCATATCACCACCTATAACAATCTGAAGAGAGAAAAAATATTGAATATAAATTTAAGAGGAAACTATAGATTTTTATTCTTAAAAAGTAAAAAATAGATTAGTGTTTCTTTTGGTCAAATATTTTTCTATGTAGAAAAGAACCAACTTAATATTCCTTGAACTAAGATATTTTCCTAAATTTACATAACTCTTCTGCAAATAAATATATGTCTTCTAACACACACAAATTCTCAAAATTCATCTTTCATAATCAAATCTAAGTTTTCACATTTCAAAAAATTTTTGTTCATAATGGCTCGTTCCAAATAGAAAGCTCGGATGTCCACAGGAGGTTAGGCCCAGTGGATCAATCCCCACATGATAAGAGTGCAAAACTTCGCTATAAGATTCGTAAAGCCATCTAGGCACAGCAGGAATTGTGGCACTAAGAGAGATCAGAAAGTATCAGAAGAGCACGGTAACATTGATCCAGAAACTTCCATTCTAACGACTGGTGAAAGCAATAGCCCAAAGTTTGAAGGCGGAGTTCCGGTTCCAGAGAAGCGCTGTTGATGTTTTCCAAGAAGCAGCTGAAGCTTATATGGTTTGGTTCTTCGAGGATACCAATTTGTGTGCCAAACATGCTAAGCGAGTTACCATCATGCCTAGAGACATCCAGCTTGCTAAAAGGATTTGAGGTGATAAAATTTGAGATCATGATATGAATTATTAGAGATTCATGGATTAATATTCTGGATTGAATGTACCTTTCTGCTTCTTTGAAATAAATAAACTTTTCTCTGAAGACTATTTTTTTGTTGATTATATTTTGTAAAATGTAAGTGAAATGCCCTTAGGGTCCACATCTAATGGGTCTCCCACAACGCGTTCATTTATCAGAGGCTCGAAATGCTTCTTTCTATTACTTTTAGTTATTAAATGAGATAATTATTGGTAAGAAAGTCATCGATCCAAATATATTGAATTATGAGAATACCATTTTATATAGAGAGGCACAGAAGACATCATTGCAATTCATTTTTTATTCCATCAAAGCTTTAGGACTTAGGTGGCTAGACTAGAAAGTCAGATTCTTAGAACGTTTAGTTGTCTAAGTTCCGCGATTCTTTTTTTGTAACAACTTTCAATCTCTTTATCAATAATAGCCTTTCCGCAACTTCTTCATATTTATCTTTTTTCGTTTTAGTGTGTTTCCGCAGAGATCCAGGACCTCTGGAAAATTAGGGTTTCTTCTAAGTTTCTGTATTTAACGTAAAATTGATAGTGTGAATTTCGGTTACCACATGGTGTACCCTCAGTTTCTCAAACAAGTGGACACCATTGTGATATGCCACAAGAAAACAATTATTTGGTTACTGGACCGTATGTTGCTTTGGAGATTATGGGTAGTTAGTTACTCGCATCACCGTATTCAGTTATAAATTTCTAGGCATGGACATTCCTGTTTACGATATGATTTGAATTAGGAAATTATGACATGAATTAGAGCTACCATGGAGTTTGATCGGAAAAAACTAAAACTATTGTTGGGTTCTTATCCTAAGATGTTGTGTTGTTTCGTTGCTATTTTCAGTAGTTTTATATCACCTGTAAGTGAGTTATTTAGTGAGGTTTTAGTTTTTTTTTCAGAACTATATCCTTTGATAACTGAACAAACGGCGTCAAAAAATAAATTTATACTAGGTTTCTAATTTACTCATATTTAGATATACCATAATTATTACATAAAAAATTAAATACTATTTGCTTATTCTGTTTATATTTAGGGTAAATTTATAACAATATTGAAACCACACATTAGAATTGATAAATTAATACTTCCAAGTTCGTTTATACTTTAATAGAAACATTTTTTTGTTTTTTGTATTATATAATATTATCAATTATGTGAAAAAAGAATGTTAAGAAATTATCTTTAGATCACAATTTTTTTAAAAATTAAATAAAACAAAAAATATCTTTGTGACTTCCATCCTTTTCATAGGAACTAAAACTCAACTGATTAAGGACATATATTATTGTTACACCATACATGATAATATAATTTATTTTAAACTAAATTTTTATTTCATATTCCTAATCGGAATATTTCGGTAATATATATTGTAAAAATTTACAAATTAAGGATATTTGACCAAGAGCAACATAAAAAACATGTTTAGTGGCTTGATTCATCAAATCAATAATTGTACCAGAATGATAAAGAAGTGAAGAAACAAAATATTTTCAATATTAGAATTTATTAATTAAAATATTGGCTTCAACAAATGCTAAAGTTTTAGATCGTATTTGCAAACTCATTGTTATGAAGAAAGAATCTAGAGATGATGAAAAGCATGTGAGGATAACTATTTATTTTCACTATTTGTAGTTAAATACTTTGTTCTTTCTACAAATGTTAATTATCTTTTGTACAATTTAGGGTATGGAGAAAACACTAATCGAATACCTTGATTAAAACAAGATTATTTATGGACATAAAAATTTTGGAAGCAATCCAACATTTAAACAGTGATGAATTAATTGAGTCTCAGCTGAAGATACTAGTAATCGTCTTAAATAAGGTTAAGGAAGCGATGGGGGCTCGCTTCCTCGTGTAGCTCAATGGCCGCAGTCTCAACCGATTAGAACACCATTAATATATTAATATAATTACAATGTATCATATGTTGATATGATCGATTGGTTTCTCGTGAGGAAACCCTTAGAAGGGACGCTTACACATAAGAGTGATAAATATAAGTTTCAGAGTCATCCCTCTCAGCAATACTCGATATAAATACCTCGGCCATCTCTGTCTCCCCGAAAGTGGTGTCGGTCGACAGTTGATGAATAGTGTAGTCCGTTACCGGATGAACAGTGTCGCAATGAACAGTGTCATGATGAATAGTTTCGGGATGAACAATGTCGTTAGACATCGGATGGACAATTTTGTTTGACATCGAATGAATAGGATTGTTCGACATAAGATGAAGTGTCTTTCGACATCGGTGAGCAATATCGATCGATGGCGGATGAATAATGTCAATCAATGCGGGATGAATAGCGTCGGGGTGAACAATGCCGTTTGACATAGGATGAACAGTGTTTTTTGACGGTTGGTTTACACTGTCAATCACTACTGTTTGGAGGGTATCAATCCATACTTCCCTTGTAAACTTACGGATCTTGCGTGAATCAACATGTTCCTTCTTTGAAGAACCCAAAAAACCTCTTCTCATTGTTTTCTGGTACTAGATCCATGTACATGAAACACACGAAATTTTTTTTTTATGTCAATAAACTAAAATAGAAAAACCTAGACAAAATCAAATTAATTGAGCCTAATGGCGATCCATGCTCCCCGGCAACGCCGCCAAATTGGAAATGGTTTGCCTTAGGGTTTAAATATCTATTGTAATCTTATCAAATTACCCTATGAAACAACTACAATACTCTTGCCACGAGAGTCGAGTTGAAGTACTTAGGGATCAAATCCACAGCAAGCATGGAGACACAATAAACTCAATACGATCGCGATTAAACAGGCTAGTAACTAATATAAATCAATGATTCATAAATAAATCAAGGAGTTGTTTGTTTGAACGATGGGTGTTAGGTTTAAAGTTTAGGCACGTGGATTATAATTGGTAGATAGCAGGGTTCCATTAATATGCTAGGACTAAACCATCTACTTAATCCGAGAGAACTACCATCGATCGATGGTGTACACTGGTGTCGATCGATAGTAAGATCGGACAGGAACTATGACGAGTTGGTACGTCCACTAAATTGATTCAACCAGCTCTCGCATGCATCTAACAATCTAGTTCAACAAAAAGAATTCCGGCACATAACCTACTCTCGCAATTGTCTATGTCCTAGGATCAGGTTATAGTTAGCTACCATAGAACACATGCATTAAGAACAATTTTAATTGATGGATATGAATTCATCCTAACAATTCTAGTTTTGACTAATCCAGCGATATCATTAAGAAATCATAAACCTAACAAGATATCTACTAAATCATGATAGTTGTCACATAAATCATAGATGAATATAATAGAAAGGAATAATATAAATCAGTAGAAAACCAAAGGAGTTCCAGGAGGAATCTGAAGGATTTCCTCCATTCTCTCCTAAAACTAGTAACAATGAATCAAAATAAAACTTAGCCTAAACAATGGCTTAGAAACACACATAAATAGGGTTAAAAGTCGACCAAGGGTGTCTGATAATTTCTGGTTTCTTCTGGGCTTAAGTCGGTCTTCAAATCTACCTGACCCGCGTTCTGGAATCACCGTCGATCAATACCAAGTGTGTGTCGTCGATCGATGTTTCTTCATCTCCTCGACAACTTCCTCTCGTGAGGCAGACTGGCCACTCTTTCGTAAAACACACTATAGGAAATGTGGGTATTAATAGCGTCGTAGTGTAACATTTTTAACATTTCTGATATTGTATACCAACACTGATCTTTCTAATAGCGTTTATAAAATTTAAACACTATGTTTATAACCTCGGGAAAATAAAAGAATTTAGCCGCATTAAATTGGTAAGTGAAGACGCCTTACCATTGCAGATAAAAAAAATAAATTCTATAGTATATGAAAAAATATATTAACTTTTAGCCGACAAGTACTTAAATTAAAATCGAAACCCTTTTTCTTCACTCACTTCATATTCCCCTAGAATTGAAACCCTTTGTTCTTCAAAGTTTCGAAGAAAATCCCAAGAGTCCTCTCAAATCGAAGCTTCAATTGGTATGAGTTTCAATTAAATATATTTGTATGGTTTATTTTTAAATATATTTGTAGGGTTTTGAGATCAACATGTTTGAGGAATTGGTATGGTTTATTTTTAATGAAGTCCTTGAAGTCTACCACTTATGCAAATTTTTCTCATACTCTCTTGCTGACAAAACAACATGTTGGTTTAAAAAATTTCCACCAGGGTCTCTCAAAACCTGGATTGACATCTTGAACGTCTTCTTCAATAAATTTCTCTATGATGCTGCAGTAAATCTAGATATTGAGATGGAGTCCATGATGAGATATATGGTAGAGGATGATGAACAATATGGATATGGAGAACCGAGCAGAGTAGAAGAAGCTGGTACTGGTGATACGACCTCAACATCGATCGACACCACGACAATCCGACTGTCGATCGACACCACTTGAAATCGCTGAAAAATCGAGTTATCCTCAAGACATTGTAGAATCGACAGTGAAGAGCATCGATGTATCAACCAGTTATCCTACCTCAGATGTAGACAGAGAGATCACCATGGGAGATTTCTTGGAGCTAGAAGAACTTTTGGAGTTAGAGAATGGAGAACAGCTTGGGGATTTGGATTCTGATAGGGAAGTCACTATGAAAGACTTTTTGGACCTGGAGAATGGCTTGACTCAGAGCATAATCTTGACGACGAACGGGACACTGTGGGAATAGATCTAGAAACTTCGCGAAAGACTTATATCGATCGACACCAACCTCATGAGATCAGTCGACACCCACCCGAGAACACCGGTAGAAACCCACGTAATGATATCGTTCAACACCCATCG